TTTTTTTCTTAATGGCTTCCAAAACGATAAAGATCTTATCCCAACATTACCCCTGTCCTGCCCCAATCGTCCGCTCCTTCCGTGTGCCACGCCCCCTCGTTATCCTCGTGTGGGATCCCCATGTGATCAGCTGTTTCTGGTTGTTGTCATTAGTCCTCTGCATTAAGTCCGTTTTTCAGTTTGTTTCCCGATTTCGTTCATTGTATTGTTGCGTTCGACTTGTTTACAGCGCTGGCTTAAAGCAACGCATTCTGATCCTGACGCAATGCATTACGGTTAGATGCATTACGACCTCTCACCTGGCTGCACAAACTGGACCCGATCAACTGACAAAGGTAACGAATTCCCTTGGATGAGAATCTGTACCTTTCATGGAGAATATCGTCCGGGTATGCCAGTGGATTCTGGCAGTTTATAAAAACCCTCGCCCTGCGAAGAGAGCCCCTCACGATTTGCTCGCCAATGTCGTATGGATCATCCAGGTACGCCGGCACTGTCTTCAGAGAAATTGTAGTTGGAGGGGTGGTGCTTATATAGGGCTGGCTTACATAGAAACCTTGACTTAACCAAAAACATAACCTGCTCAGAGCAGGTTTGAGACACAGCATAAATTGCCATAGCAGCATGCCTCGAGTAAAACCTACCCACCTTTCATAGTACCCATTAATCTCAAAGTTACACCACACGTCATCAAGTTACTCACAAAGTTACCCCGATAAGCCAGTAACCCCGCTTCATAGTACAGGCCCCTGGTCCGGCAACTCAGCGGGGATTCATTCAAGACACGTTGATGGAACGGAACTCCCAATTAAATGAGCCAGACTTGTCGAACTAAGTCTGACTGGGACCACCACCCCGGTCTGCTAAACCAAAGGCACAATCTCATCCACCATCATCTTCGAGCTCTACCTCCTCCAAGGAAGGCACATCAGTGGGATTCAGAAGATCGTCAAAATATTCCTTCCACTGCCTGACTATATGCTGTAAACAGCATGAGTGAAGCCCTGCTTCCCCCTCCTGAGTCGCCTGATGGTCTGCCAGAAAATGTTCAAGGCCAGCTGGTAGTTCTTCTCCATGGCCTCACCAAACTCCTAATATACCCAAGTTTTTGCTTCAGCAACTGCCAAAGCTGTTTTATGCTTGGCCTGCCGGTATCTGTCAGCTGATTCAAGAGTTGCACAAGCTAACCAGGTTCAGCCTGACAGCTCCCTTCACCGCCCTCCATCACCAGGTTCAGGGATTGCTGTTGCTGGCAGGCACCAATTCAATTCAATTATATTTATATAGCACTTTTAACAACAGTCATTGTCACAAAGCACTTTACATTTAACCGGCCAGAACCCCACCAAGCAAGCCTTTGGCGACAGTGGCAAGGATAAACTCCGTCTAGCAGGAAGAAACCTTGAGAGGAACCTAGACTCGGAAAGGGATCCCATCCTCCTCTGGGCGACCGGGGAGCATGAAACTGTATTAACATTGATATTAATTTGAGTCCATATAGTTTAACAACTAACAACCTTAAAGCCACAGCTCTGCAATGCTGCCTCAACAATGGAGTCCCAGAACATAGTCCATAGAAACTCAACATCAACTGACTCCCTCAGGATGCAAGAGGAGTTCTACTGGAGGTGTGAGTTAAAGATCTCTTGGACAGGGGCCTGCGCCAGACATTCCTAGCATGCCCTCACTATGTGTTTGGCTCTACCAGGTCTATCTGGCATCATCCTCGGCCACCAGATCCAACTCACCACCAAGTGGCGATCAGTCGACAGTTCAGCTCCTTTCTTCATGGAAACATGTAGACGCAGATCTGATGATAAAATTACAGAATCGATCATCAAACTGCAGCCTATTGCTCTGGTGCCAAGTGTACTTATAAACACCCTTATGTTCAAACATGGTGTTAGTTATGGACAAACTGTGGTTGGCACAGAAATCCAATAACTGATCACCACTCAGATTCCAATCAGGCCATTCCTCCCAATCACACCCTTCCAGATTTCACTGTCATTACCCTCCAGCAGAATAATAGAGTCCCCAGACGAGGTGCCTTCCAGCCTCCACCCTCCAAGAACTCCTAGAAGGCCATATCCTCTGAAATGTTGGTCGGTGTGTACACACAAGGAAAGAGTCAGAGCCCATCCCCCATCTCGAAGTTGAAGGGAGGCGACCCTTCCATTCACCAGCATAACCTCCAAGGTACTGGAATCGAACTAGGGTGGGCTATACATAAATCCACTCCTGCCAAACGCCTCTGCCCATGGGCAACTACAGAGTGGAATAGAATCCAGCCCCTCTCCAGGAGTTTGGTTCCAGTTTTGCCTACTGTCACCCGATCTACATTGCCCGAGACCTCCTTGGCTCCTCCTGCAGGTGGTGGGCCCACAGATGAGTAGACTCATGTTAACCCACGTCCCACTCTTTTCTATTTTTAGTAATGTTGGCATGCCCAGGGGGGTTGGGTAGCCAGTTGATCTTGTTGAGCCAGTTAATTCCTCTCCTCCATTGTCATCCGGCATTCTTTAATTAATTTCTTTGTCTTTCCCATGTTTTTGTATTATGCTGGCTTATCACAACACACCCATGTAAAGTGCTTTGGGGCAACTGGTGTGAAAGCTGTTATATAAAATTAATTGAACTAAACTAAACAGAATACTAAAACAAAACATGTCCATCATGTGCATCATGAAAAATAAAAAGCTGAAATCTATACCTGGTTAGTGGGCATGAAATGGTGTAGAGAGGGTTGCTTTTATGGTTTGCTTTGTTTAAAGTAACAGTTTAGTATTTGTACTCTCAAATTGGACTGACCTCAGTATCATCAACTTACAATTTGGAGTACCCTGTAATACTGACCTCAGTATCTCCAATTTACAGTGTGAATCCCCCAGTCCAGCAGAGAGCAGCTTCACTCCTGAATCCTGCAGGTAATTGACACTCAGGTCCAGCTCTCTCAGGGGTGAAGAGTTTGATCTGAGAGCTTTAACCAGTGGTTCACAGTATGTGTCTATGATATCACAGCCACTTAGCCTGGAAAAAGAAAATATTTTAAGTCATAGAAACATGCATAACCTACACGTTGTCAGTACTACTGACAAAAATATTGAAACTAGCATTTCTTTTCATTATAACAAGCAGCACAGGCCACTGGTGGACTCAGGGGGGAGAGGGGGAGAAATCGCCCCCCTAGTGCTGCAATGGGTGAAAAAATGTCACTAAATTACCCTCTGGCCTTTACAATGGTCTGAGCAGCCCCTATGGGTACCTTTCCAGTGGAAAAGGGTACCGTTATGGAATCCATTGGAATTTCATTGAAATATTGAAAGAGCGTTTTTCGGAACATCGTGCTTGGGTCTGGCTTGCCAGGCTAGTTACCATCCATGGAGAGGTAGATGCTCTGGCTACAGCGCATGTAAATACCTGCTAATTGTGAAATAATGTTGTTGTGGAAAGGATGTTCGTGAATGATTCAGAGCATGATGCACTTTGACTGGCATCCCTTATGGTCTTGTGAGGCCTATTTTTTCTGTTAAACAATTGTAGCTGAAAATAAACAGCCAAATTACAACCGATAGTTTCAGTCATTGAGGACAAAATAGGCCTAATAGCAAGGATTTATGCTACTTATTTACAACAGTTAGATTTTCCAGAGGCTGCATCTGTCCTGACATTATATCTATTCCTGTGCTAGATTCCAGAAACAGCTTCAGTGAAGTCTATAAGCTAACAATAATATAATAATAAGAACCTTGTTTTAATTGTGAAATGCATTTGACTAAAAGAAAATTTAGTTTTTGTCTATTCTACTAGGTACTTGTACTATATTGACTAGGTAAAATAGAATTGCATCACTAAAATAAAGAGACTAAACTACAATTTTCATTGACTAAAACTAGACTAAAATAGTCATGGATAATTCTGACTAAAATATGACTAAAATGCCCAGACTTTTAGTCGACTGAAACTTGACTAGACTAAAATGAGTATGGACGTGACTAAGACTAATAATTAAAATGACAGCTTGACGCAAAGACTAGACTAAAACTAAAATTAAGACAAGCCGCCAAAAACAACTATACTTGGGTGTCTTTTCTGTTGCCTCAGTGTATGCTCCGACCATGGTGAGTGATGAGGGAGATGTTTTACTTGCAATTTCACTCAGTGGTTGATTGGTCCCCACGAGGTGACACTCCTCTGGTCATGGGTGACTTCAATGCGACCACTGGCACTGACAGGGCTGGCTATGAGGATTGTGTCGGTCCCCATGGGTCTGGAGACCGGGGTGAGAGTGGCTCCATGTTCCTTGACTTTGCGAAAGGTCAGGGGCTGTGGGTGGCTATATCCTTGTTCCAACTCCCTGAACCACTTTGTTGGACTTGGTACTCCAATACTGGTGGTACAGCGAATGAGATCGATCACATCCCCATGAGCAGATGCTGGAGGCTCCTGCAGAACTGCAGGGTCTACAGAAGTGTCCAGTTGATGAATTATGACCACAGCTTTCTTGTTGCTACTGTGAAGATTCACAGTCCACCTACAAGGAGAATGAGGCTGGACTTCAAGACTCCAAGATCAACCTGTTTCTGATGAGTTTGCACACAGTTTGTGTGAGAAACTTGCAGACTTGGGTGTGACTGCTGACTCTAATGTGATGTGGGAGACCTTCTGTGATAAGACCCTGAAGGTTGCCGAGGGTTGTGTTGGTGTTGCCAGTGCTCCCAGAAGGAGGTGTTTCATCTCCCGGTGCTCCCTGGATATTATCGAGAGGAGTCACAGCGCACAACTTGGTGGCAACTCCAGTCTGAACTGGGAACTGAGAAGGACAGCTGTGAGGGCTGTGAGGGCAGATAAGGAGGCGTTTGTTAGGTGAATTTGTGAGCAGGTGACACATCATCTATGGTGTAGTGACCCATGTCCTGCTTACATTAAGTGCATTTGAATCTGTTACTCTGAGACTTGCAGTCAGGGCAGGTGATGGAACGGTCCTTATGGATGACACTGCAGTTGTGACCTCCTGAGTTGGCTCCTTTGAGCAGTTTAAAGCTGACCCTCCAGCTAGGATGTTGGACATCTCTGGGTCCACACTTCTTGAGGCTGACCCTTCAATCAGCTGTGAACCACCCAATCTCACTGAGATTGCACGGGTGGTGAATCAGCTGGGGGCAGGGAAGGCCGCAGGGATCTGTGGTATCCGGGGTGAACTTCTCCAGGCTGGTGGTAAGGCTGTCCTCCTGGAATTGCAGGTAATCTTTGCTTCCATTAGGGAGTCAGGGGTCATCCCAACTGACTGGAAAACAGGACTTGTAGTCCCTACCTGGAAAGGGAAGGGTGATCGCCTGGATTGCAGCAACTGCAGGGGGATAACACTGCTTTCAGTGCTGGGTTAGGTCTTTGCTAGGGTTATCCTTAACCCTCTGGGGTCAAGTGCATCGTTGGTGATGCAGTGTATTTTTCGCGTCTATTTCAGTTTATATCTCACTGAAATCTGTATGTAGAATCATGAAAAAAAACGCTGACTAAATCCGTAATCTGTCTTCTTTTCAAAACGTCCATTGTCAGAAGTATTAAAGTTTTTAAAATTAGGTTGAATCGGCAAAAAAGTAAACCATGTCACCTTACTTTGTTTTACCTGCACCGGGGGCGTGTAGTACCGCTCTCACCTGAAGATCGCTATTCGCATTCTAAATAGCCGAATTAGCGCGTATTCAAATCACATTCACTGGTCATGTACCCATCTGTGATCAGATATAAAACAAACTGGCACCATTGCTTACTATGTACTTTTATAATGTTTCTGCAAGTGTTCCAAACTGCAGTTTGCAATGTCTATTCTTTGAAGTCAAATTACAAACTTAACATAAATCTGACATATTTACAATATACATTAAACTTAAGATGAGTGTAATGCCCCAGTCAGTGAAAGTGTGTTCCCTACCCCTAGACCCCAGAGAGTTAACAGGCCGGCTTGTACACTGGTACTGTGAGTGCTGTGCAGAGTGGAGGAAGAACCTCCCCGTCCTTTCCAGTTAATTCTGGGATTCACCAGGGGTGTGTTCTTGCTTTTACTCTGTTCAATGCTTGTATGGGTTGGGTGTTAGGCAAGGTTGTGGGGTCCAGCAGTTGTGAAGCATCGTTGGTGAAGAAAGATTTAGTGTGTCTGTGTGTTGGGAGATTGTCGACCTTGTCGAGAGATTTACCTACCTCAGCAGTGACATTCATGTCTCTGGTGACTCCTCCCATGAACTCAGCAGACGGATTGGGAGAGCATGGGGGGGTCATGATGTCACCGGAAAGGGGTGTGTGACGCTCCTGATATCTTTACAAGAGGACGAAGGTCCAAGTCTTTAGAGTCCTGGTGCTCCCTGTCTTGCTGTATGGCTGGGAGGTATGGATGCTATCCAGTGAGCTGAGATGAAGACTGGACTCCTTCAGTACTGTGTCTCTTCGGAGAATCCTTGGGTACCGCTGGTTTGACTTTGTGTGGATTGAGCGGTTGTTAGAGGAGTCCCGAATGAGGCACATTACCTGCATTGTGAGGGAGTCCCGAATGAGGCACATGACCTGCATGGTGAGGGAGTCCCGAATGAGGCACATTACCTGCATGGTGAGGGAGTCCCGAATGAGGCACATTACCTGCATTGTGAGGGAGCGTCAGTTACAGAACTACGGCCATATGGCGCGTGTCCTTGAGGGTGATCTGGCTCACAAGATCCTTATTGCTGAGGACCCAAGCGGCTTGACCAGACCGAGGGGACGTCCACGTAACACCTGGCTGCGACAGATGGATGGCCATTTCCGGAATGTGGGACTGGGCCATGTGTCTGCCTGGGGGATCGCTAGCTGAGATCCCGAGGAGTTTTGCCGTGTGGTGGGTGCAGCAACGCGCTGCATGAGCGCATGCGCCCCAACCTCTGTGTCTCATTGAGTTCACAATTAAGCTTACAATTAAGTCCCTGCCTCAGTGCAAACTGGATCCTAAGCTCTAAACCTCAAGCCTGAAAATATTGCGAGACTCTCTCTCAATGGCCGTGAGAAGAGCTTCACTATCTAATTGCTACTTTACCTGGTGAAGTATGGATGATGATTCTCACCCACGTTACAGAGCGATACTGTATTCAGTGAATCCTATTCAAGTCTCTCCTTAACTGGGGATTAATAGAATTTGGAGGAACCAACCATTTAGTTGTAATAATTCATTAATAATCACCAACAAATAATAAATAATAAAAAAATAATAATTAATTTCCCTATATATTGGTAGAGATAAAAAATATTTAAGCTGCTTTTTCCTACAGAGCTGAGTCTATGCTGTGACCCCTCAGCTTGCTCTCCTTGTAAATGTGTCTGTGTCTCTCATGGAGAGTGAGATGAGAAGCAAACAAATGTACCTGAACTTGTGCAAAAAAGGGATAATTTCACTTATACACCCTGTGGATAAAGAGCCCTCACTGTTTCTATAGCAGGTTAGGATGCTGTGCTGGGATCAGAAGGCA